AAAGTTGTAGTCATTTCCGGTGAAACAGAAAGTGACAATCCTGATTTATGTCATATACATTCACCAAATCAAACTATAGTTTTTATCTGAAAAAATTATGAAGGTGCACTTTTGAAAAAACACCCGGTATACGACTGATTTAAGAATATAAAAATTTCATAACAAAAAATTGAATTTTAATTCAATTCCCATTGCCTACAGAAACTGTATACAAAGTTCAGTCTTTTCAGATAAAAGAAATATTCCTAGATATTATACTTTGGTCCTTACAGTCTAACAGTTTGATGAGCATAAGCATTAGCGAACCCACTCCAGTAGAACTATATAATTACAAAAAAAATGCCACGAATTTTATAACAAATTCTATAGAAATTATTTTTAAATTAATTTTATGCAAACCTTATTGTCAGTTATTGTAATTTTTAACATTTAAAATTAATTTAAACTCACAACAATATTGATAACAACCATTAAAAACGCGAATTTATTTAGCTTCTGAACAGCAAAAACAGAGAAGTGTCATTTTATAACAACTTTTTGTATAGTGCGCAGTCTATACAGCTCTGGTCATTTTATTTTTGTGGTCTGTATTTTAATGCATATGATATTCTAATATATATCTACAACCCGTTGGCAGACAGAGAGACAAAATAAACATACAGTGTTGCCGGTTCGTACAAATCCGGCAATACCGCATAAAGAAATGTATCAACCCATTTTTTTTCCTTTTTTTAATGCATTTGATTTTTCATTAAGCTCTCTCAATCACTGTCTTAAACAGCCTCTACACTATGCGGAAAACCTCTACACTCTTTGAAACAGGTCAAGCTCGCATTTCATCGTCCAACTTTGTAGCATTTCGGTTTATTTCAGGTTGTCTTGACTAACCTCGTTTTGCCTCGAGTTATTTTCGATTCTTAAAAGCGTCTGAAAACTACTTGTGATTAGGGCGTGGGGGGATTTTTTGCGGTTCTTGTTGCCTCCTTCAATTTTGTTTCATTTTGAACTATTTCCAAAACGTGGCGGTATCTGTACCCAAGGCAAAGGACTTTTTTTCATAAATCTCAGTGAAATAAGTAAACCTACATGTTTCTAAAATATATGTTATTACGATGATATTTTGTTAATTACATATCGTTTTATGTTGATATATATTCCACTAAATTAATATTTGAACACACATTTATAATATGTATAGTAGTATTTCACAAAATAGTCCGATAAATATAAGCCCGTTATAAAAATTAGTTCCCACATTTTCTGAAATAGATCGAGACCCGCTGGGTTAACAATAAAAAACAAACAACCAATCACGGCGGGTCTCGATTTATTTCAGGAAATGTGGGAACTAATTTTTATAACACGGGCTTATATTTATAGGACTATTTCCAGAAATGTTTGGCGAAATGTTTCACGAAATATTTCGTAAAACATTTCGCCAAATATATACGGGGATAGTGTAGAGGCTGTTTTACATTTTCAACATCCAGACCACGGTTGTACGGCGACAAAATCTGTATGACTTCATTTAAGGGATTTAAGCATTTATTACATAAGGTTATACCGTTTAGATTACATAAGTTATAAGGGAACCTAAAATTATATGTCTTAAATAAAAATCTTATACTAAGGGCTGGCAAAGGTTTGTCTTGGGTCGAGATTTCCGTATGTAAGAAGAGTACAATGCGTTTATAATGTACTGAACAAAGAGAGGACAGTAAACACGTTGCCAAACGTATGAAATAAACCGAGAAACTGTGCACATCGCTAAGAGACGAGGAAGGGGATATAGCAGGTTTGTCGCAGTTGACCGGTCGACCCAATCAATACCTCTGTCAGTACTTAAAGTTCTAAGGAAAGGTGTACGTCATGCGTTCAGCTTCACGATTTAATTACGTCTCGTGATACTTAATTTGTTTATTTATTAACGAGTCGTTGTAATTTTCCCTATAGCTTGATTTTTTTTAAGTGCAAGCTAGAAACACTTGCATTTTTGGTAAAAATAAGTGGAATTGAGTGGGTGTTCGATAGTGGTCGCGCTATTAGAACTCTGAATTCAAAAATCGATATCTCGAAATCTATTAGAAATAATAGATTGTAGTTTTTTCAAGAACTTTGTTAATCTTTCTGCTGCATTTTCTTTGTAGACAGTATGTGAAAATCTTTATCAATAAAAAAATTACATGATTGCTGAAAATGCTATGCTCTAAAAGTAAATGGATGGATTGTTTACAATTTTTGAATGGAAAAAACAACCTTATCGAATTTTTCTTATGTAAACATATTGTAAAATATCCGATCTTGAAAATAAAAAAAAGTTTCAATATCTAAAGTGGTTCTTGAGTTATGGCCTGTTATGTGTTAAAAAGTTGAGTTTTTAAATTATCGCGATTACTGACGTTTTCTCGTTATAAAAAAAATTACACCCTAACGATATCCTTATTCATTCCATTTCAGATGCTCAGAAACATGTCTAATGATTTTATCTAGTTATCTCTTGAAAAAAAAGTCTTTTAAAAATAAGCGGTTTGCGATCGTGATTTTACTTTACTTGATAGGGAAAGGCGTATCGGCAACGCCGCAACAGCACACCGTCGCGCGTCGCTTCGGTCGGTCGTATTTCTCTCACTCCGACTTAATAAGATCCCTATGCGATTTACTTCCACACATGTAAAGGCCGACCCAAAAGTAACAGTTACCAGCACGGTATAGTATTTTGCAAAAAGTTCGCTATAAATGTAAAAAATATTATTAAGTTATTGGAAAAAAGTTTATGGGGAATGAACAATGAAAAAAAAAACTCTGGACATATGATGTCTCAATAGTTATGACGGTAGTTTGAATTATTTAATAAATCGATTTTTATCTTTTTGATTAATAAATATCGGTTAAAAATAAAAGCACAAATTCTAAAAACGACACTTCCAAGACTCTGCTGTTCAAAAATGCAACAATGCGCAACCTCGACATACGTTAAACGTCACTGGCGTATACGTCATCGACATCTTTCAACGTGTCTAAGCTATAGTAACTGTTCGACCGACTGAGCGACCTGACGTTCGGGCCCGAAGAACAGCACCATCTTTCGAACGCCTCTTTCACTCTGTCATAGAGCGTCAGTAGCCACTCGAAAGGCGTTACATAGTAAACGGACGACATAGATTCGGTGGATGTGCAAAAGCTAACCTAGAAATTTAAATTCGATATGAGAACTACGACAAATGGAGATGTTTTGGTGGTGGCACCTAGGAATATGTAACCATTAGATATGGCTTATAAGATCTATGGTCATATTGTGAAGGTAAGCTGCATTCTGACTATTGTACTTAGCACTATTAAAACAATACTTAAAACAACTTAGTACTTAGTTACTATAGCTACTAGTTTGTAGCTAAAATATTCAGGTTAGATTTAAAGCAAGTGATACAATGGCTAATAACCAGGCTTTTTGAAGAATTTGAATATTTCTGTGCAGTGTAGTAAAGCAGATGTTATCGTTTTGTGAATGAAAACCACTATGTTAAATTTCAAAACTAAATGAGTAATGAATAAGAAAATATGTTATAAATATTTTATATCCAGCATTTTGGTTAGTGTTTTATTTTTTTGTCATATATACAACGTGTTTGTAACAAACGTTTTAATATTGGTTTATTTCTTATTTGCAAAAAAATGGACATTTCAGCCTGAAGTAGAAGTAATAAGTAATTCAAGCATTTAAATAAATATATAGTACGAATGTTATAGAGGCAAGTTGTTTCCCAAATAGTTGTAAAATTATATTTTGATGTTGTTTTTTTAGTAAAACGATTCTTTAAAAAAATGTGTGTGTATCATATACCATTAAAAGCACGACTGTACTCAGAATCCTTCTTGATTAACTACTAATGTAAAATAGGGGCATAATATGGTACAATAAGACCATATAGGCTTGGTGCATTCTCCGCCGGTGCTGCCACCATCGGAGAATATCGTAAATAATCGTCATATACAAATACATGAGTTTAAATAGCGAGTATACGAAAAAAAGTTTATATAATTATTCTAAAAGTATTAGGAAATATAATTTGTGAGAATTCTAAAAAAAATAAAAAAGTAAATATTTCGATATCTCCAAAAGGTCCAACTTGTATTATAATTTATCATTGAAGCTAATAAACGTTTTTAGATGAATTGAACTAGGGTAGCGAGCATAGTTTTACGCACCGGTTTTGCTAGTGGGGACATAACTTGGACTATTTCGGCTAAAACAAAATTTTTTGAAGGTATACAATTATAATTTTAGAAAATATTCATAAAAAATGTAAACACTAGTTGATTGAAAAAAAGAGTATACCATTAATACTGCCAAATTATATTTTATTCTCTCATATAGATTATGAGAGAATAAAATATCTATTTAAATTTTTGAATATAATGTAATGGACACTTTGTTTACTCACTTGTTTCGTTGAACTGCTTAAATCCATTTTTGTTCTTGATCAAATCGGTGTGACAAGCTGTGAAGCTATAAAATGTTTCGGGAGAGTTAAGTATCCGGGAAGGTTGAGTTACTGAATATATTATTGCACCCAACAATGCCCTAATCACGCCCTCCTTTACGCGTTAACATTTCTACGGCAATTTGATTAAGATTAGAAATTGTCACAACACAAGACGACGCCTAGCCGGGTTCGTTTTCACTTAGTTTTTACTACCCGAAATAGCGTTACATTACACAAACCTCGTACCTGAGTGTTTTATAGTTTCAATAACTACACTAGCAAAAAACTAAAATACTTAAATATTATGACAAAGCCACGATTTCAATATTATTTTATTGTGATCAAGCCTATACGTGCTCGTTTGTGTTCATCTGAACGTTCCCTTGTTACGAATGGGAACGTTCTCTCTATTACAACTCTAGATATGGTATATTAGTCCAAGTAAAGAACATTTTTTATAACAACTTGCCCCTGTAACATTTCTGAACCCCTCCAAACCTCGTCCCATCAACTCACCTCTTTATTGTCCTTGTCCTGCGGATCGGTGAACTTGACGCTGTGCGTCCTGCTCGCCTCCTGCTCCTGCCAATCGTCCGACGTGGCGTCGTCCGTGCGCACCGTCGTAGCTGAGATGCGGGACAAAGTTCCGTTACTAAGACCGGTGTCGTAGCGATACAAGCGGCCGTCGGAAGCTGTGTTTATGTGCAGCGGGGTGAGGGGGAACGGCAAGGGTGCACATAAAAAGAAACAGGGTGCAGGACCACAACAACAACAAACGTGTGACGAGTAGCAAAGAGGCTGCGCAGTAGTAGTACACACGCACAAAAAAAACGTAGAGCGCAGAAGCGATAGATAAAGAGGGGTAAACCTTGTTTTTTTTTCGGAAAACAAAATTAACAGCTAATAGAAAAAGTTGTTAATATATTGTCAAAAAAAGTTCCTATATACATATCCCTATAATAGTGATTTTGTGTTGTTCTAACGACATATCTTATACAGTAGCCAGCTATAGTAATCGCAAAACAATTTCCGATGCACGTGATCAACTTGACAAGCGATGGGGACAGCGCTGCCAGATTGTGATGGATTTATGAGATGAATCTTAATTTAAAATTGACAAACAACATATTTATTATATCATTTATTAAAGAGTTTACGTTTCGTTTTTAATTTAATAACTAATGTTTTAGTGATTGATTGATTTATTTGTTTTATAGCTTATTTTACTTATTACAAATTGGCAAGAACTAGTGCATTATGAAGATTATTATAAGCGTTATTATGGGCTATTTATTTAATAAGTGGTAATAACAAGTAAGAGGGTGCTATTAATGTACAAACTAACAATCACAGAATTTAATAAAAACTAACTTTAAAAGTGATATCTATATATATTTAACTTATCAATCAAACTTACTTATCTGACTGCAGTCAAGGGTAATAAATGACCTTTATTGTCACATTCTCGTTCAAAATAGTTTTCAAAAAACAGAGAAGCCACAAGCTCTTTGCTTCGACTGTTTAAACGTTTCGGCATATTTTCAACACACAATTTCAACAAATGCAATACAAAAACTCGAAAATTTAGTTCTTGAAAGAACTGTTTGTGCTTAAAAGTACAATTTTTAAAAAAGACTATGAAAATAGGCAAAAAACGAGAATTACTCACAAAGATTCAACAACACGATAATATACAAAATAATGACTGACACTCGGATAATTGTCAAATAATACAGGACAACATTGCTGAACACGGCGCAATGTGACCAACATAGCGATAATAAAATTCGGTATAAACTAATTTTTGCAGCTTTAATCTAAATAAAATATCTGTTACAATCATTTGCTCTATAAAGTAAAATGAAGAGCTGCTCGGTATCTTAAATTATACAACAAATTTAAACATTTTTGCTAAAATTTCATTCAGTCAGATTTTTAGACTTTAGTGTCAATGTCGATATGATTGATGACGTGCATCGGAAAATATTTTGCGATTACAATAGTTATTTTCGCTTGATTTTGAGTAACCGCCCTTTAACTGCCGCGCCTGTTCTTGTACACATACGCGGGCAGTTAAAGCATCGATTTGGTTTTTATCTCGGTTTTATACTAGAATCCGACTTGTTGCATAACGCATACTTCCATGTTAATGATCGTAAGTCAACTGGCTGTCTAATAAATAGGCTATAGTTCTAATTGTTGATCATTTGATAATTTTTTTGTAATGACTTGATAGGACACTGACGTTCTAAATTTAAACAAGAATAAGATAAAATTCTAGATAAATATAATATTTCTAAAGCATAATTTATAATACATTTATTATTTGCGATAAAAAAACAATAGCTAATGTATTTTTATCAACTCTGATATTTCTTTATTAATTATCTAATAATTTTTATACCGATATAAATAATATAATCACAATAAAAAAATAAACATATAGTAGAAGAGCTTTTACCCACTCATAAAAATGGAAATGTGATTATTAAAACTGATTCACACCCATATTTTTCCTATTGTTAGAGGTGGAATAATCTTTTAAATATAGTTATCCATAATCTATTAAAATTATTGACAAACATAAATTCTTAATGGTGTTTTATGGAACAAGAAAGGTTTCACAGAACGCGCAATCCGCATTTCTATGTTTATTGATAAAAACTATTTTTAGTTAACCGTGAAAGTTTGTAAATATAATTATACATATTTCTGGATAAAGACATATGGTTGCCACATAAAACTTGTACATTCCGTACATTATGTAAAAAGGTACATATTTTGAGAGATCTTTTCAAAAAAAAGATGGAACAATACCATAAGTCTATCATGTATTTACTTTTTGGTTTTTCTTTTTGCCAATATATACGATATATGCATATAGGAACTTATTTTCTTAAAATCAATCTATTTATTAGCTGTTAATTTATTATCTTAAAAAGTGAGACACCTATTACTTTATATACAGGATGTCTCAGGAACTAGGGATATCCCTAATCTAACTATTTTTCATATTCAAAACTTCAAAATATTTTAATAGTTATGTAAAATACGTATATCTAATTCTCATATTGATACTATCTAATAAATATCTTTTATAAACTGCAAAAAATGTTTACATAATAATCAATAATATCTACTTATTTTTTTTTAATAGAAAAGCTAAGGCTAACCTGGCTAATTCTATTGGTTTAGCTATGTAAAAAAATAACACTGCAATCCTACATTTTAGCACTACATTTTTTTTCAAAAAATCAAAAGCTAAATTCCAACTACAACTGCAAAACAAAGCTTTTTTATCGGTATCAAAATATCACCTCCTTCATGACTATATTTTCCTTCAATAAACTATATATAGATGCCATTATTTAAATAGGAGGTTTATCAATACGTAAATTACTATGTTCATAATAATATGGTTCATTAAATCAAATCATTTTAAAGATTTATCTAAAATTAGAAAACAAATGAATGTAACTATCTATTTTATCAAATTCAAAAATAAATCCATGGCATTGTTGATGCTATATATTAATATTTTAACTTGTTTTAATTTTCACATTAGGTCACTTAATATAACAATTAATATGCTTGATATAATATTCAATAAATAATATTTCCCAACAAGTTTGGCAATAATGGGAATATTGACATCGATGACGTAAAAATAACTTTGTTTGCCGGTTGGTATAAAATACGCTTGAATGAAAATGTTTGTTTCTGTAATACATACATTATTTTGAATCAATCGTAAATTTATTTTGGCGCGAAAAAACTATTTTTTTATATATTTACTTGTCTAAACTACTTCCAATTTTAAAACCCCCTTTTTGAAAAGAAAATAATGCTACAAAAAAAGCCATCAAAATAATATTCATGATCTAGTAATACACTGGAACATATAAAAAAATCTTTTAAATGTAATACATATCAAATGTTGTAATAGCTCAGATAATCGCTGTGAATTACTAGATTATGTTAAAAAGCTATTTTATTTTCACAACAACAGGAGTACGTCTAAGCAAAATTGCGCAAAATCTACTAATAATTTACAAAATATGCTATAAAACACTATTAACTACTACTAAAAACTAAAAATTACAATATCCCTACACTATACCACAACAAATCAATATTACTATTTCAAAAGTTATTAGAAAGCAAAAAATCATAGAATGGTACCCTGATATAGTCTGTACAACGGTTCAACGCTACGTCATCATTATTGATCAAATATCCGTTTTAGGGTGTGTTTGAGATCAGTTCATATTGTTTCGAAAATTTGAAGTACGTTCCGAATTTTCCATTGCATTTTCACGTAAAAGAAAGAGTAAAATTTATAGAGTAACTTTGAAGGAGAGTTGTACAGACTTTGTCATAGCTACCAAGATGTTTTTTATACAAAAAAAGAAATAATAAAATAGCACTTACTTATAGTGGGCTGGTATTCCTGTTGGGGTAACAGGAAACAAGTGAGCACCGTTTTCTCAGTCTCTGGATCCGTGTCAGTCTGAAACGTCAGCAAAGGTTGAGCTTGGTTCTCGCTCAACCACACAGCCTAAAAAACAACAATTTCAATTGACGTTATAAGCCGTGTTTATATTATGCTGTGTGTAACCACCTTAAGACTGAGCTGAAGCAAGGTATAAGGCAGATGGGGCAACCTATTGCCCGATACGTCTAGAACGTGTAGTCGCTTGCAGTTGCCCAGGGTATCGGGCAACAACGTCAGTCTATTGTCTCGCAAACTTAATACTCCTAACTCACATAGATTACCTAAAAGAAATAATACAGAGATAAATTTTCAAAAATTATTTATGAAATCATGATTAATGAATTATACCTATTTCTTCAGGTATATTGGTCAAACTATTCCTATCTACATTTAGGTTGGTCAACTTGACCAGCTTGCCTATTTCTCTAGGCAGTTCACTGAGAAAATTTTCAGTTAAAATTAACTCTTGTAAGTTGTGACAGTGACCGATATTTACGTTGAGTGACGTAAGTCGGTTCTGGTCAACCTAGAACGAAACAAAATCAATACATAGAAAGTTATTTATACCAATATATCATAATATGTTTTAAAGCCTCATTTAACTTCGCTTACCTTAAGAATAGTAAGCTTCTCTAGCTTACCAATACCATCAGGCAACGTTTCTAAAACGTTTTGCGACAAATGCAGATCTGTCAGGCTTTCTAGCCCAGCTACATCCTCTGGCAGGTACTCTAGCCTGTTTTCGCTCAGATCCAGACAGCTCAGGTTGCTCAGCTGTCCTATCTCCGCAGGCAGAGACTGCAGCTGGTTGTGGTCCAGCCACAATTCCTGGAGGGCAGGTAATTTACCAATATGTGGAGGCTACGAAAAATATTATGTTAAAAACAAGGAGAAAAGTAAAAAACTAAAAAAGAAGCAATAAAAAATAGTATATTTCAAAATATTTTCATAAGTTATTTATTGTATATGTAACAGCTATTATCTAACGACCTGTTATATTATAACTGCTATTTATGAATAATGATATGCAACAGCTGTTTTTCCAAAAAAAAACAGATATGAAAACTTCAGAGTGATCGATCAGCGTATGTTCCACAAAATTATATGAAGCACGTAACAGTTGTTCCAAAAATAACAGTTATAAAATAGCAGTCCGCCTACAGCAACAGCTTGTGATTTGATGTGGAGAATTCACCGTCATGAGATTATCAACATCGTAACGTCATTTGCTTATTTATCTTTACTACTTTTCGTCTCGCGTGTCGTGTCCCGTGTCGTGTTACGACATTGCATTTTTTACTCCCAGCGCGCGTAAAGAAGTTTCGCTTGAAAAAGATATAAAAATATTAGTACACTGACACTGATGGCATATATGTGAATTAGAGATCGCAGCGCTAAAAAGATTTTACCAAGCTTTCGAGTAAGAAAGTCTCATTATTCTGATTTTTTAAATGCAAACAAGAGTGGGCAGTTTTTGTTGCATAGAGTTGTAATTATTGTAGTGTTGAAAATCTTTTTAAACTCTCTTATTAAAACGTTGATTGTCTAACAATAAAATTAAAAAAAACTTATTATTTTAAGCCGGTATTTATAAGCAACAGTTCCAAGAGTTATTTAAAAAGTAACAGTTCCTAGTGTTATTTATAAACTACAATTTCAACTGTTGTTCAGGATTAATAGGTCCAACTGTCATTTACAAATAATAGTATCAAATGTTGTTAAAATTCACACTTCCAACTGTTTTATTAGAGAACTATTATTTAAAACTGTTATTTAATTTTAAACTTATATAGAAATAACACAGTTCCAACTATTCTTAAGAAATAACAGCTCCAACTGTTATTTAAAAATAACAGCTCCAACTGCTATTTAGAAATAACAGCTCCGACTGTTATTAATAAAGAACAGTTCCAACTATTGTTAAGAAATAAAAGGTCCAACTGTTGTTAGTAACAGACCCAACCATTATTAAGAAATAACAGTTACAACTGTAAAGACATAAGAGTTCCAACTGTAAAGACATAACAGTTCCAACTGTAATGATATAACAGTTCCAACTGTTACTTAGAAATAATAGTTACAACTGTTAAGAAATAAGAGGCCCCAGTGTTACTTAGAAATAATAGTTACAATGTTAAGAAATAATAGGTCCAAAAAACTGGCTTACCAATTCCTCTATCTCGTTATCGCCCAAATCCAGCCGTTCCAAGTTCACCAGCTGACTGAACGTTGCGGGCAGCTCCTTGAGCAGGTTCTCCCTCAACTCGAGCGACGTAAGCGACACCAGCTGGCCGAAATCGGTCGGCAGGCTGGTGAGCGACATGTCGTTGAGCCCGAGGGTGGTGAGCGACCGTAGCTGAGCGAAGGCGGGCGGCAGGCGAGCGATGGGATTGGAACTGAAGTCGGCCACCCGCAGCGAGTGGAGGTGGCCGATGCTTTCCGGTATGTCGGGAATGTCTGGAAAAGAAAACAAAGATGTTTAGAGGAAGTGATTATTAAGAAAGTTAAAAAAAATATTAATAAGGTACCATCCAAAATGTTTGCCACACTATGACTGTATTAAAAACATTCATTTTTAATCAATGAGCCTTGGAAAAATAGATTTGATCATCTAATGTTTTTCATGTCTTAGCCTGGCCGGTTAAAAGATGCCCAAATCGTATTTTTAACCATTTTCAATTTTTTCAAATGGAACAAGGGTGGCTCATTAGCATATTTGGAAAAAGCATTTTTTGCGAATAAGTTGGTACCAAGAGCTTTCATTTGAGATACGTAACGGTTTTGACCACTGGTTATAACCGGTTAAAACAGTGTCCTGGTCAAAACTAAAAAAGGTGTTTTTTGCCAAACCTGTGTAAAACCGTCTCAGATATTGGCTTTTGTCAAAGCCCTGTATGATGAGTTATAACTCAAGAAAGGTGGCCCGGCTAAGACACGAAAAACATTAGATGATTAAATCTATTTTTCCAAGGCTCCTTGATTAAAAATGAATGTTTTTAATACAGTCATATGGCACTCTAGATTGAAATTTAAAATACGATTTTTTTGTAAGCGAAAATGTCAAAAGGTGACATATGATAATATGTCATTTTATCCAGAGTGTCATTTCTTATCGAATAAAGCAAAAATATACCGAGGGTGCCATTTAAAAATGAAAAATTGTAATCATTTCCGGTGAAACAGAAAGTGACCAAAAACAATTTAATACGTCAATCAATCCTAATTTATATTAATATTAATAATCCCGATATATGACGCGTCATTCATGATGAAAATATATATTTTATATAGAAGACGATTTGTCATGAAAGTATGCGAACCAATGAATTTTAGCTGTAAAATATGTTCTTCTTCTCATTTAAGCAACCGCGAAAATCAGATCGCTACGAAATTCTCTCACAGTCTGTCGCTTAGTAACCACACTAAGGCTGGTTCACGACTCTTTAAGTCGTGGGAAATAGATTTCGCAGCATCGATCCCGAAAACGAATTTAACAGACGAAATCTTATTACTGAAAGGTGACATTTTCTAATCCGAGCTGATTTTGTCCAGGCTCGAGCCAAGAAGCATTTCGCTAATCTAAATTCCGGTCGTAGATTGGAAATAGGCGTCGAATCTTAAAACGTCGACGCCTTCTTGATAAAAAGGGATTGGCGCCATTTTTGCATTGATTTTGCAGTTTTAAAATATTGTTACGGATTCCGTGGGTCCACTAATTTAAACTCACGATAAAATACTTATCGAATTTATTTTTCTCACTATTTACACACAATTTATACTAATTACAACAAACAATTAACTATTTCTTCGCCAAATTGTCACAATTTAAAACGCGGTATTTTTACCTGTTCCAACTGCCAAGCGCGGGCTTTATATACTCTACTAACTGTTTCTGGAACCTTCTATTTCTAAAATTCTGTAGTATTTCTTTTACTTGCTAGAAAATTCTCTTAGATCATCGATATATTCCCCTAAATCTCAGAGATGGCGCGCTACTCAATTGTACAGGTTTCTTGTTAATGTAGGCAACCAGCAATACACGTCGCGGTTTAGTTTCTGGCTTCTCTGATAGATGGCGCCACATACACCTTGACAATAGATCATTTACTCCACCGGTTGTTTCAAAAATTTGAAGTCTTCTATTTTATACTTGAGAATGTAGCTTTCTTATAGTCTTAACAGTTTCTTCCGTTGGGAAATTTTTGGAAGACGGTTTGGTTTGAGTAGATATAGGCTTGGTGCATTTCAGTTGATTTCAACAAATTCCGACCGCAGCGCTTCAACGGCAAAAATCAGAAATTATCCGTACCTATTTCACGCCGCCGCGCGCCGTCATGTTGATCGCATTAAAATAATATCGAAATCGCGGTTTTGTCATAATATTTAATTATTTTAGTTTTTTGCTAGTTCACTTATTGAGACTATAAAACACTCAGGTACGAGGTTTGTGTAATGTAACGTTGTTTCGGGTAGCAAAAAATAAGAGAAAAAGAATTCGAACTAGGCGTCGCGTCGTGTTGTGTTGTGACAATTTCAAATGTTAATAAAACTGCCGAAAAAATGTTAACGCGTAAAGGAGAGCGTAATTAGGACGTTGTTGGGTGCAATAACATTCAATAACTCAACTTTCCCGGATATTCAACTCTCCCGAAACAACATTTTATAGCTTCATAGTTTCTCACACCAATTTGATCAAAAGCAAAAATGGATTCATGCAGTTCGACAAAACAAGTGAGTAAACAAAACGCTCGTTACTAATCAAAAAATTAAATAGATATATACTATGAGAGGATAAAATATAATTTGCAATATTAATGGAATACTTTTTTTAATCAACTAGTGACTAAATGTTTTATGAACATCTTCTAAAATTATAATTATGTACCTTTAAAAAATTTCGTTATAGCCGAAATAGCCCTAATTATGCCCCACTAGCAAAACCGTTGATTAAAACTATGCTCGCTATCGTAGTTGAACTAATCTAAAAAGTTTTTTAACTGGAATAATAAATTATAATACAAGATACCTTCTGAAGATATCAAAATATTTACTTTTTTATTTTTAGAATTTTCATAAATTATACTTCCTAACATTTTTAGAATAATTAAATAATACATTTTTCGTATTCTCGCTATTTAAACCCGTGTATTTGTAAGTAGTAGTTGTTAACGATATTCTCCGCTGGTGGCAGCACCGACGGAGAATGCACCAAGCCTATAGTCTATCCAGTTGTTATCGGTCATTTTAATTCAAAAGTGATTTGTTTTCTGTTAATTTTTGTAAGTCATCTCTCGAAATCGTCCCTCATCCCGCTGGATGAACTTTAAATAGAAAGACAGGAGCTTTTAATGTCAAAAAACCGCATAGAATCTGAAGAGTATGTTTTAAAATTCGCCGCACATTCGCAAGTATTAAAACGGTATCGTTGCATGGGCCTCTTTAAACTGTTGTAAAAGCGGTGTGGGGTGGGGTTAAACGGCATTAGGCATGCCGAACGGATGGACGGTAGTGCCACCTGTACGCTGTCCAATCGTGTATGCACCGTTGGGCACGAGCGATCTCATATATGGCAAAACGGCGATTAGAAATTTATGTGTACGTGTATTCGTTTAAAACCTTTTATATTATCTGGTAGTTTCAACCAGGCGGATGAAACTGCCATTTGAATTTTGGAAAGACGGCGGAGTTTCTGCCAGTAGAGGGATAGATGGCGCTGCGTAGAAATTTCATCTAAAGTCCCTAGATATTCATCTTCATTTAATAATTTAATAATGCTAAATCTGAATTATTGTAACTGAATAAAACTATTAAATAAAACACACCTACCACATTCGTTTTTCTCTTTTTTTTCTTTATCTTGAAAATTGTTATAAGATTTGGTGCACAATGTCTCCCATGCCTTGGATTTTTCAATTCTATTGCTGTATGTATCTTTTGTATAGTCCTAAATGCAAGGAAGAAGGCGGATTTCCTCTATAAAGAGTTTCGTGTCGAAATCTTCATCCATTTTTTAAGAAGAAGTGTTCAATACGCAGGCAACAAAGGTAATGCAAAAGTAATGAAAAGGTATGACTGGAGTCGGTATCATATAGATAAGATACTATAATATAATTTGCTATAATAAAAGTCGGTCTGGTCCAGTCAGGTGGATGACACTTCTTATGGGAGAACTGGCAATGGTTGAAAACTTGACTACAAGCGATTTTCTAGGAATCTTCCTTACCGATAAATTATTGGCAAGAGTGACAGATAAAGCCTTGACGTTCTTTCAGTATTCCAGTTCATCTCTTTTTCTTTCTAAAGTATGCGTTGAAAGGAGACAAAAACAATTTTTGGTGACCCATAATTTGTTATTCGAACACCACTTTTCTCTTTATCGGGTCCAAATACGTTTTAATAAAATATACGGAGAGTACCGCTTAAATTCCTGTCCCGATGTTGAAGGATGGCTATAGAATGTCAATGCATTTCCTACATAAGTCTATCCTTGTTCGGGAGGAGGTTTTCTGCGCTTGCTCGATCTGTAAGCACTTTGATTGGACAGTTCCAAATCATATGATATGTTTTGTTTTGGTTTTATTTATTTTAAGTTGAGGTTAAAGAAGTTCTAATAATTGAATTAAATCTTTCGAAAAATTGGAAGTTTTTTGTTAAATATTCTGAAATCAAATAAGTTTGATAATGTAACATTATGCGCATATTTATCAATTGAGATATTTTAATCGTATCCAACATGTTATGGCAAAACACTTTTTCAACCAAAATTTTTCAGATATCTTCGATTTAGTTATTTTCGAATGTTTATTTTGTTTATATCTATTACAAACTCAAGGAGCAACAGTTTTTTACAAGTAGTGTTAATTTTGATGCTGGTGCAATACTTCTACTCGTTAAAATAAGTTTATTATAAATATTACAGACATTTATAAAAATAGGCTATGGAATAGGTATATAAAAATTATTTTATATCTGTCTCACAATGGGGGGCTCCTAGTAGCGTAATAGGTATCTGCAGTGCGATTCTGTAAACATTTCCCTGTCTAGTGACTCATCAATCGTATACAAATAGCATAGGCTCGATAGGAAATTTCTTGCTACAGAGCTTACAGAATCCCATTGCTGATTTCTAAAATTCTTTTTCTAGATAGGCTTCCCGCATCGTAAAAACTCCTATTTTATGGTATGTAATTAGTATTCTGAAGGTATTAAAATATTTTAATATCAATATAGTTTTTTCACTGAAACTCGAGTTAAATCTTAATATACATTATTCATATTGTCGTTTTAGAGATTGTGCTTTTATACTTACTATTATGAAAATTTACTGAATAAAATATATAGTTGCAATCCTTTTACTGAACTCCTTAATTTCTTGTTTTATGAGGGGATAATTTTTGCTTATTTAGGTACTAATTTTAATCAGACCATTTTTTAATGAACTCATTTATATTTATATC